CCTGTAATGCATAACCCGATCGCATTCATTTGCGAGTCCGGCGACGCAGCGCGTCGTCGAGTTCTTTTGTGCCGGCTCTCGAAGTAAGAGGCGACCGAAGTCCCAAGCTGCGATATTTATTTCTCTTTCACGCGCGCGATCCTCCATCGTTTCACGCCGTGCGAGTAGCAACGAGTAAGAAACCCTTTCCACCGGGGGAATTTACTTGCAACGGCCCTGGGTTGATGATAACCATACACAGTGGAGGCAAGCCATTTGTAAAGGCTGCTTTCATAGGGACCTGGGAGTTATTGTTGTCATACATCAATTTACAAGAACAAAATCTGAAACAAATCCACAGCGTATGTCTTTCGACTGTGCTTAACAAAGCACCGTACGCGCGCATAATTAGGTTTTGCTCCTACAAAAGCACTAAAATTGCACCAAGTCTCTGAAGTGAGGCGTTTTTGTTATGCAGCTTGCTGAAATGAGCAAACTTGATTAAGAATTCATGCTCTCACTATTGTGCTGCAATTTTTTTAAATATGCATGTGCACTGATAATACATCTTGAATTGAACGCAATGCACGGGTTGAAAATACAACCATTTCAATCGCTTAATTTGTCTTTTGAAAATCAAAGGCTTTAACCAATATGTATTTTATTATTTAAATATTTAGGAATCAAAACGGTAATAAAATGTGATTTGAACAAAAGTGTTTGCGTCACTTGTTTTTTTTTTGTTGACGTGAAGTTTACGTCATAAGTTGAAAGAGCTCAAACCGTCTTATTTTAAAAAAAAAGGAGAGAATTGTCTTTAAAGGTCACATCTTAAGAGGTTACGCAGTACATTGTGATAAGTTTTTATTTCTAGTTTATTGTACGCCTTTCGATTTAACTCGGCTTTAATTCTGCACGGGGAATATGCTTATGAATAGATTACATGCGAAGGAAACAAATACATTGAGCGGAAATTCATCACTGACATTGGACCTCCGTCATTGGCCATTCATCTTCAGGCCTTCAGTCGGACTTAGACGTAATCTCTAGCATTACCGCGAAGAAGCTTGTGTTCTTACTTAATTCAGACTTCTGCTGAAGAAGTCGCTCCGTTTCTCCTTTTTTTTGAATCGGGTTTCCCAGGCGCTAGGTCTATGCAATTCTAATACATACTAGTTGTATATCAACAAGGTAGACTTGAATATTTATTAGCTGAAACGACCACAGTTCAAGCCAGGGCACGCAGCGGATATCAATAAGGGGATTTCCCCCCGATGGAATCTGAGCCTAAAGAGCTTTTGTAATTTTCCCCTGAGTCGCCTTTGAAAGACTCATGTGCTGATTTAAGAGTTTTTCAAGAAAGTGCAGAAAATCATGAAACTTGTAATTTCGACGGAAACCGGTATGTTGACTGAAATATGCCCTTTGGTAGAAAACGAAATTGTCGGAAACTGATTCTTAAACTGACATTGCACCGCGGCAACCGGTACAATGTTCTGAAACTTGAATTAAGAAAAATGAAAACCCTTTTTGAGTCAAAGCAGCATCGGGCAAAGGGAAACTGGTGCAACATTTTCTCTGAAGCAAATAACTGGACGAGTTGTCTCTAAAACTACGAACTGACAATGTTACGTATGCTTCGCTAACTTAATTTTATAGTTCGTGGCGTCAGTGATGAAAATGCACTGAAAACGGCACTGAACCGGCATTGAATACAGGCAACTAGACAAAATCCGGTACAGCTTTGCACTCTCAGCGCGTCGGCAATCATTCCGTTCAGTTTTTTCTGAAACCAGAAGGGGAGTTGGGAAGACAGCTCTTCGGGGAGTTCTCGTCGTCGATAGGTAGCTGAAAATAATCCCATATTCTTGTTGCCTAAAATTGGGCTATGTCCATATGCAATGTCCTGCTTTTTTGGTCATGAAGAAGGGTTCTTTACCCGAGATCTAGCGTCGTGATGCACGCGGGCTAAATGTGTTCGCAGCAACTGTCAACAGACTTGATCTCACAGAGGCCGGCAGCCAGACTTTGCAGACTGATCGAGTTACTGTTTCTCCCAACTCGACATGCAGATCGGATGGCGTAATACCAGCGAGTGCCGTCAAATCCCCACGCCGTGACGGGACCCACGATTAAGAATCAATATCCCGCAAGGCCGAAACACCCAACTCGTTAAATACACAACCGAAATGTATCAGTGTCATGATTTCTTCTATAGTGTTTGAGAAGGTTATTACCAATTACCAGGACTTCCGGGTTTAAATATTGTATCGGTGTTGAATGTCGTGTTGATGAAGATAACAGGTGTAATTGCACAAGTCTATATGACAATGTCAGGTAAGGTCACAAGTCACCGGGGATGAACCACGCCAAACGGAATGCCGTCTTTAGAGTTTATTTGAATTGATGTTCATTGGCTTGAGACTATTTTGTGATTGACTTGTGATGACTTGATTACATCTCTTGCAGGGAAGTTGTTTTTGCCAATGATTTGAAAGGCTCTTACGTGATTCTGCACTTGATGTCTTCAATTACTTTGAGTGACCGTTGAATTCCCGCTGGAAATCACTGTAAACTCACAAACACGATGGGCCTACATCACAGATCATTCGATTGAGAGTTTCAAACCACGAGCAGACTAGGCTTTTGCCCGGGAAAGGTGCGAGATCTACCCGGCCGGACAAGTCACGGTTGTGGCGTTCGAATATCCCTCTTTCCCCGATAGAGATCGTCCGACCAGATAGGGAACAAAATAAAATACCCTTTACGGGTAACGGAGTACGCTTATAGGGTATCGAGATACCAAGGTGTGTTGCTTTAGCATGGTACTTGATCAAGTTTGAAGAGACTTCGCTATTAATTCAGTCGATACCAAATGCGAATGTATTTACGTATAAAAAAAAAAGTTTTGTGAAAGTAACAGGTGTTAAATTCTCGAATAGCACGGTCCTAAATTGCCTTCACGTCGGTGAGGTTTTAGCCAAGTGATGTAATTCACTTGAACGTCGTGACCGGGGTAAGCTTGGCATGAGTTACGGAGTCACGCCTAAGGCTGTATCTAAATCCACCACACGAACCCTTCCCCGTTCATGAACAGAATTCAGTTCAATTCATCAGTATATTTCCTATGACAGTTCAAGCAAGGAAAAGGGCATTCTTTGTGTGACACGAGTCAACCACATTAACAAGTTTTAACCCTTACCTCCCCGAATCCATCGAAATCAATACCCATGGAGTATTTCGGCGGATTCAGGAGACGTCCATTTGGAAAAAGGGGGATTTTGATGGATTGAGGATTGTAAGCCTAGCGGCACTGCAGGATTTTGATGGATTCAGGATACATCCATACTGAGCAGTCACCAACAACATCAATTTTGTGCTGTGGATTTTGGCGGATTCAGGATTCCTCTAAATGCCCAAGGGGTTAGGAAAGCGTACTCTTTTTCATTCTGTCTACCAGCTTTGGTCAATTTGCCTACAATACCACGTACGAGATTATACTGCCACCGTCGTTTGTATCGAGGAATACTGTGTCATTGACCAGAGCGTCTCTGTGTCCACCAGCGCAGCCTTGCAAGCACAGCCTTGCAATGCATGCTTCACAATGCTGCTACTTGTTTCAACCGTTTATCAACCTTTTAAATGTTTGATTTTCTTATGTGATTTTGAAGTTAAATTTTAACAACTCCTGTCATTATCATACTCGTGATATTTGATGTGAAATAAAAAAAACAGCAAAACCGTTTCCAATGTTTATACAGAATTACTTTCGAGGACAAACCTGGTTTCCCAAGAGCTTAAACCGGAAAAACATCTTCATCTTCATCTTCCCACGTGAATAACCGTGTGGCCAAAACTCCTCCATGATTTATCTACAGAGAGTAATTGACTTCAATGCTTTCTACCCCCGAAGAAATGAAATCTCCGCGCGTTAAAAGCTCGCTCAGTTCCGTATTTACATTTCATTTTTCATTAGGCGCAGCTCCATGAGTTTTTCCTGACGTACGGACGGTTTTACGAGTGCCCGTATTCGTCTCGGTTTTATATATATATTTTTTTACAACTGCGCAATCTCACTGTTTTTTTTATTGGGAAGAAATACATGTATTGTAAAACCATATGGGTATTTTACGTTGTATTGCACACTTTGGATCGCAATATTTGAACGGGAAAATGCTGTTAAATAACCATGATATGATAATGTCTGCCATTCCGTTACCACCTTAATCACTTGTGGCAAACATGGCTAGACGAAGATAATGGGATTTTCATTTTTGTAAATTTAAACGGCAGTTTCTCATCAAGAACACGATTGTTTATTCAAGTCGAAAGATATTTTACGGTTATTGCTTGTCAAGATATCATTTTCAATTTCAAGACACTTGAACTATGTATCCTGGAACAGGACCATGAAGTGTTTTTAAAGGGGAATGCAAAGTTTAAAACGGCCAATTGGGAAACGAATTGTTAGTTATTCTGGCATGAGTTTGCTTTTTTGTGAATTACCTCGCAAATTGCCTTGCGTAAATAATTATTGAACAAATAAACATTTTAAGCAAGTGAGCTTCATTTTTTTAATGTCTGTATTATTGGTCTTTTATCGTTTTCAAGAAAGATGCATAGTAAGATGACGATCCAATAACATAATTTTATTGTGGCCACGAAGGGGTTTTTTTGGTGGAAGAGATGGTGCAAGAAGTTGTTTGTGAAGGCGAGAGATTTGTTTGGCACATTTTTGGTCTGGATAGCTGTGGAAAAAAATAGTGGTAAATCAGCTTTCGTCAAGCTAAACTAGGGTGGGCAGAAACGAAGTATTAAGGTAAATTTCGCGCAAAGTAACGGAGAAAACGAAAAGGAAGCAATTTTGCTTACTGTAGTGTTGGCGCAAAGAGGTACTTTAAAAAATATTTGAAGCGAGTTTTAAGTTCTTCCACATATTTTCGTCAGCAATAAAATATAATTCCTTAAGAGGAAACGAATAATACGAAATTCCAGAACGACAGCAATATTTTGTGACTCACCTGGCTGTATCCTGAGGACACCTCTGCCTCCATGGGCGACGGGGGATCGCGAAGCAAACCCGGGGAGGTGTTACCATCATCACCCCGCCAGGCCGAAGCAAGCCCCGTACAATAGATAGAAATTAATATCACTAGTCCGCATGTCGGGGATCTGTGCGGTATCAGGCCTAGTGGCCCTCGAACCATGATGCTATGGAGGCTCACTGTATCCAGATGGCTCGACTTTAACCAGGGACGGGCAAGAAATGGCTGAAGAGCGGGAAAGTCCGAACGGAACTGAACTCCAAATACTGGGTCTGGCACGTGTGCGTAGTGGCACCCATTGCCGGTGCGCTTATATACCCGCCAACGCTAAGTCCTCCACGCGCGTGGTTGGTCGGTCATGGAGTTAAGCGCGCGTTGTAGTATTGTTCATTGATTGCGTCTACGAGTCAGCGCACGTGTGATGAGTCCGCGGTTGTTTTGGGGGCGGGAACTGGACCGCAAGTCAGTATGTGGGCGGGTGGAGAGTCCGTATGCCCTGAGGATGCTGGCAGGTTTCTTAGCGATGTCAGTGATGGTGATGATGATGAAAACAAGGAGTTGCTGATGATGACGCCGGTGTTGTCGGTGATGTAGGTTACATGAGGAGGAGTGTATATCCTGCAGCGATTGCGTGTTCGATCGGCGTGTACGGCCCGCGGCTTGTAATAGTGTCACGCATGATTTTATGCTCGGTTGGGCGTCGACAAATCTATCAGACGTGAGTGGCGTGATGACAGCCTATAGACCATCACTGTACACAAACAGAGGCCCCCTTCAATGGCGAAAGCATTGTGCTAGCTATTGTTCAGATAATCGTCATGGGACAGTTGCTTTGTACAATTGCGTGCACAATGCTTTCGCCATTGAAGAGGGGGCCTCCATGAATGTATAGTGATAGCGCCCTATAGGAGACACACACTGCCTTAGATAGGTCAATGCCTGACATTATGAAGTATCCATTCGTGATTTTGGAAGTAGGAGTAACAGAAGGAGTCTAGTATTACGTTTCATGTTCACTTCTTTAATTTATTGGCCAGTTACTTAGCGATTTCGTCATAGCTCTGGCCATTTGATAGCAATTAACCACTTTTTTATCGACTCGGCAAATTCGATACAGCAGTTAAAAGTCAGCTTCCTTGTTTTTTGTCTGTGTGAATTGATCCAACCGAAGCCTTCGCTATCAAATGAGTCCTCCTAATTCGTTGGACTATTTTTTGTTTTACCCTTTTTGGAGGCAAGAGTAATCAGCGCTGTCTAAAGCTCCTAATTCATTGTTCTGTAACCTTGACATCGAAATATTCCGATCTCACTCCGGTCATTTCAGATGACCCGATCGATTCGATTTTTTTATTGACTTTATGATGCAGGATGCAGGCCTAACAATGAACCCAAGATCTCTTTAAATCAAGTTTAATGAATCAAGTTGATGAAAAACCCTATACAATCCGTATAGAAGCTTAATTTTATATTCGCATATCTGTCATCTAAACGAGGTAGCAAAGATGACGTCATCGATCATTTATAAACAAAGGTCAGGTTAAATTGTTTTCCGATGAATTTTGTTAGCACACAAAGCAAAATATCACTTACCATCGAAATATTGATGATTAAAAACTAATTATTGTCAAGAAAATTGCCATTCAATTTGAAAGTCCAAGTATATAGGCTTTTTATCAGTTATATCAGAGATGTGTTGCATTTTTAATGAATGATCCCAAGGACGTTGGATTTTCGTATCGCAGAAGGATTTAGGAGTATTGTAATGTTAGCCTTAATAACTAAGCCTCTTAAATCTCAAATCCCGTTTGAATAATCAATAGGTGAGTTTGTTGAATAACTTTTCAACGTTTGTTGCAGTTGTGGCGTTTGGTTGGTGGTATTTGGAGGGAGATCGGAGGTTTTTTCGACGGAGAATGTGGTGACGGAGGTGGTGAGGGTGATGATGGTGATGAGGATGATGGTGTGGAGGTGGTCCATCGTGGTGATTGAAGTGTTGGTATAGATGTGTCCATGCTAGGTTACTTCGTTGACTTAACAGTTGGTGTTGTGGAGCTCAAGCTGTTATGGTCGGGTGTTGGATGGGGCTATATTGGTAAATGGTGTTGGTGTCGGTTGTATTGGGATATATCTGGTTTTGCAGTGTTGGAAATATTGCTGAAATGCTTAACTTGGTTGCGGACATGTTCGGCGTAGTTTTAATTTGTTATTGTGTTTATTGATTGGTATAACCATGCGTCAACGGGTTGTGGCTGTCAATTTGATGTGTGGTGCTTATTTTCGTTTTATGTGCCTGTATGCCTGTGCGTGATGGGGGGGGGGCAGTTTATGACGGAAAACTTAACTGTTCCGTTGAATGTTTTCTTTTGAATCTTCAACATGATCAACAATCACACAATGTATGAGTGGAACATTTGATTCGTGGTCTGTGGGTAATTCTGCAGGTTGTGGGTTCGAGTCCAGCCTGGGGTTATGATGCGTGTACCCTTGAGCAAGGCACTTTGTTGCCTATTGCTTCTCCCACCTACGAGTATACCTGTGAGAGTACAGATGGTTATTGTGATTGGTTTTAGTTGCTTTGCGCCGAAATGGCAGCATCGAGCTGTATATACTCCCCAGGGAGCTGAGTTATTTGGAATTTTTCATTGGCCCAATGAGCAGGGTAATAATGATGTAGCGCCTTGAGCGGCAATACTGGTGGATGCGTGGCTGCGCTTTATACACACACATTATTATTCGCACGCATAAAATTGGCAAAAATTTGCCAGGCACGACCGACCGAGGTCTTCCGCTCACTGCGTTCTTTTGTTCCTCCGAGGTCAACCGAGGTCACCTCAATTACGCATCTGATCGATTCTTCCACGAATTACGCACAACTCATCTATAGAGTCATGCATATTCATCGCCTACTTTAAGACACCAGGAAATTAACGATCACAGCAACTCGATATTGCGAGAATCGTTAAGGACGTACCGCGTCTTGTTATTTACTGGGCCCGGAACGCACGGCGTGTATCATGTTCAAGTACCGTACCGCTAGCGGGACTTGCCGTGTAACAATCACTTGAGCTGAAGAATTGAGTTCCTGTAATATGGACATGGACGACCTTAAATCATAGAGCATCAGTCTGGAGGCGATTAAAGCAACCCAGTGGTTTAAAAACAATCCTGGCGTTTCATATCTAACCAAGGTTGCTGAAGTAATGGGAACATTGTATTTATGGGAGATGAACATGAGTTTTATGTCCTGTCGACTTGAAGTATAATTATACACAATTATTGTTTTAGTTTGTTCTAATGACAAAACAAAATAATGGGTTCAAAACAAAGAAACATGCCACCAAACACCAGCACCAACACCAACACGTACCAAAATATAATAAACCATATTCTCTGTGTGATATAATGCTCTATTTGGTTGTTTGGCACGTACTAATGCCACAGTGAGGTACACCTATATGGGTTTTTGTTCTCAAAGTTTGGAAGTAAATCACCGTCAAATAGTGCTAGGGCCTCATCAATGACAATGCCAGATCTACTGCAGGCCCTTACAGTGACTAGAAATTGAAATCAACCTCCTTTGCTGCAAGCCATGACGTCATTTGACGTGCTTGTGGCCTATTTTCGCGCTAATGTACCGGTCTTAATCACGTTAAAATGGACGAGAAGTCAAGGTTAAAGGAGCAAAACGAAATTTTCCAGGGGCGAAAATCCGGTACGTCAATATTAATTTTAGGCCAATCCTTAATGACCATTGACTTTTATGCCTATTTTTTGTTTTTACACATTTGACACTGTTTTTGTAAAACAAAAATCAATCGCTTTTGCTTGTTTTTTTTTTTGGCAGTTTGATGTTTCTTCTGAAGAAGAATGTTGTGAGTGAGAAGAATACGAACCAAACCTCCTTGGCGTAAGCAAGTACGGACGTGTCGTCTGATGGTGAGTTGAATGTCTTGTTTTTCTGCTTATGAAACAGTTGTAATTATCTAGGATATAGGAATTTCCGACCCTCTTCGTGCACTTTTTCGAAACACGGTTGCATACGGGCCTGTCTACGCTGACTATGGCAAACTCTGAAACCACCAGGTATGATTTTGAAGAAAAAAGGCACTCTGCATACTTGTGCAGGATCAGCGCAGTAAAACCTCATCATCTTCGAAATCCAAAAACAGATAACATCATTTTCGAGACCTAACGAGAACTCCTTGCGTCCAAACATGCCCTGACGTCAATATGTGGCTTAAACGCCCGGCTCCACCGAGAGAATCAAATCAACGGACAATCAAGAGGAAACCAAATAAAACAAAGCGGGGCAATTTTGTCCGTTGATGACCCCCCGCCGATGAAAGTTGATTTCGGGATCGGAGACTGAGGCCAACCTGCCTGTTCCCCGTAATTACATCTATATGCGGTACGACCATCGATTCAAAAACTCGTCTGTCATCGCGTTTTTGGCGCACCAAGGCAGCTGCTGGCAAATTTGATTTGATTTACATAATATTTTAATAAAGGACGCACGGTGCACGCACGTCAAATATCCAGAAAGAAGAAGAAAACGAGATTTTCGAGAATATATTACGTTACTTTTAGGAACACTGCTCACGAAACTACCGTTTTTTGTGTCGTGATTAGAAAATTATGACTCCATGTAAACCAATAAACCAAATATATTCGTTTCGTGGACGAAAATTAAATGAAGTTACGCCGTTGTGGTCAAGCCGGCAATATATTAAAAAAACTCGAGCTTGTCACCAGACGAGAGATGAAACTGGGTCATGACTTGAGTTCCACTCTTAAAACTTATTTCTGCAAACTGACAAATATTGCAAACTGAAGACAAAAAGAAACGACAACAATATATTGCTATTCGGTGTACAGTCCATGTATAGAATGATCAATGTTTCATACGAAGACGTTTCCCTAATGGTGAACAATGAAGAACGTGCACATTACACGCACAAGTGGTCATGTTAATAATACATTTTTAATAACGCGCCATCAACTCCGACATTATTACACCCTTCACCCTTCATCATGGTCGACTAACTGCAAAATGATGGCCTGCGTGGTTATGAATATTGTCCCAATCGATACTCCCGCATCAAGGACTGCCTTTTCAGCATCAAGTATCTTTTTGGTATGCATCGATTAAAAAAGAAATCAGAATCTACTTGAATGCTCTCCCATTGTCGTCGCAACGTCTGTGCTCTCGAGTTGACCGCTCGAAAAGGCTGCAAAAAAGAAGAAGTAAAAAAAAACTAGAGCACACAGATCTCAATCTGTACTAGAGAAAATCACTCGGGTGTCATAAGATAAGAAACTACATCGCCAAGAACTGAGGCGGCTCCAGTTGCAATTTCTCTGACTGTCTAGCAGGACAGAAAATGACATTATTAAGTCAATGACATTAATGAGAAACACGTGTGTACTACATGCATGCTACACGGAAGCTACATTGCAGACTTGTGCATCAGTGTAGATGAATGATTAAATTCACTTTCCATTTTCACTGCAAAAACGTGAACACTGATTGTGAACTCATCGTCACATTATCCTATCTTACTTTATGTCATATAAGAACAAATAAGATTCTTAATTGGACCCATAAACATATTTTTGGTGAAGACAATTTTGTTTTCAAATTGTTTAACCGGGCTGCCGTTTCTCAATAAGCAACCAGATTGCTCGTCATGTAAGTGACGAGCAATACTTCGAGTATGACGAGTATTCTTCACGTGACGAGTATTCTTCACGTAATTTGAATGTAAACTTTATATAGTTCATGTGCATTTTTCAATACCGATATTATATATTTGATTATGATACCCTATATGCCTATTATAAGCCTATCATCCGTTGTCCAACGGAGCCCTCTCCGTCCAACGTCTGACACATCTGAACAGTGCCATTTTTATGCGACCCCGCGCGCCAGCCAAACGGAGTCGACTTTAGAAACTGTGATGTCATTTTGACCAGAAATGTGGACTGAGTTGTTGATTGGTCTATTTGGCTGACAATGTGTTTGTAATACCGACAATGGGTTGCGGAAGACTCGATCGATACAGGGCGCCCGCTGTATGGTCAGAATCTCGAGGTCAAGAGGCGCAGCCTTGTTTTGCATAATGGCCGAATCTTAGACTAGCTATTATGCATAAAAAATGTTCGATAACTTCTATCATGAAATAAGATTCTGAAAGGAAGCGCCATTTCCATCGGCAAGTTATAACCCACGAGTCATATAATGTCCACCATAACGGGATTCAAACCCAACTATTCCCAAAGGCGAGAAGAGCGATATAGTGCGCAATGATTACAGGTCTGAAGATATTCCTTTCAAAATGGAAACCTCGCGCGTGACCAAAACACTTCACCCACAAAGCCACTACGAACGGCTGGACTCGAGTACCAGGTGCAGACAGAACAAAGTAGATCCCAGTGAACGGAGAAAGGTCATACATATTTCCGTCCAATCGATCAATATTGATTTCGATTGTTTTCGGCCTTTTACGATTTCGGACTTTGCCTTTGTGTTGTCCAAAATAACTTTTAAATATCAATTGGCAGGAAGTTGAGGTCAATTAACGTTCTTATTTTGGTCAGCTCTTTATACGATGCAATTTTTTCTCTAGCTTAGCAGCAATCGTTTTCCTCTTATGTGCATCATAATCGCTTGCATTGCAGCAAAGCGTCTTGCTCTTCTTGATCCTTTATTTGAAATTTAATAAAGACGGGGTAAGGGGGGGGGGGGTCACTAAGGGGCTCAGGGGTGAGCTTCGGGCGGGATAAAGTGTCACTAGTACCACCCTTCCGCTGTATTTGCACTACATTGGTCAATAGTGCGAAACTGATTAAAGGGTACATGAAATGACATTTTTTCTGAGGAACATATTTTGTGCAACTTCTACTCCTCTTAAACGTATGACAACTATTTGACATCCGTTTTTGGTTTATTTTATCGAAAAGTGCACTTCTTTAGACATTTAAAATTGTCCATGCTTTTCCGAACAACTGAGGGCGCTGCTGCTGTGAGGTCCTTTCAGAACGACACTGTTCAGATTAGGCTTTTCTGTTCAAATTGTGAACCACAAAATGTGCTCATTGAAAGTATCTGAGAGAAAAGTTTGCTCATTGGCTTACTGCCATGTACTGAAACAACAAAGAATCATCAAAGAAAAGAAAATTTACCTCAGCAAATATCCAAAATTCGTGCAACTTTTGCTGCTGAAATAACTGTAACATTGAGGTTTTTGCCTGAAAATAATGGCATCGCACTTTTGCTCATGAATATGGAAATTTGAATAGCATAAAAACCGGCACCAAAGTAGTCTTGAGAATAGCGAAACAAAAATGAAAATAAGGTAAAATGGGCCAGAAAGGTGCATTTTCAAGGATTGCATTAAAAAAGACATTGCAAAAATACATTGAATAATTTTTTTTTAAAAGTTTGTGTGGCAAAGTGCGGATATTTCTGGCGTCTATTTACCATCTAATTCTCTGTTCCATCATCACCTTGCCATCAGTTTTTCATAAAGGTATTTGTCAGGATATTTCCTGAGGGCGCCTTCGTCCCATTCAACAAAATAAAAAAACGCGTACGTAGTGTCCGACCCACTGCCAACAACTTAATCACACGTTCGTTGTTTTGCAAGACCGCGGGCGCGTATCTTGCCCACCTTTTACGTGCGGACCCATTAGATGATCGTGACGAGTGAAAGCAGTTGCCGCCTGCTAACGAGATATGACAGGGGCCGGCCGGGGGGGGGGGGGGGGGGTCCGTCCTCCGTGTCACTGCCTCGCTAGACGTCTATCAAGCGAGATTAGATACTCAGCAACGATTACTCATTTGAAGATGGGAAAGCAGGCGCAAAAAGTGCAAGGTTGCCTGAGAGGATTCTTCATGTGCCGGAAGTGAGGCATCAGGCGACAGGAGTTGCAACTGAAGGGAATTTAATGTGGTTTGGTAACACAGGTCAACTTTCATTATGGTAAAACTCCGAAATTGCTTGATTCCTGCACCGTGAGGGGATTTTTTTTCTCAATAGTTATGTATCAATGATTTTTTTGCCCAAATCTGCCAAATTTCAGTTGCTCTTCTTGCTCCCGATCATTATTATATTGCACCATTGATAATTAATTTAAATCGTTACTTTCGTTCAGACCAAACATTCAGCATCGACTAGACTCTTACACGACATAATAACTGTCATGGGCGTCGCAAGGATTTTTATAGGGGGAGGGAACACCTGTTTTTCTCAAAATCCTTGTACTTTTTCTAGCATATTCAAAATTTATCAGGGGGGGGGGGGGGCAGACGGGGACATTTTCTCACCCCGTCCCCACCCCCATTACAACCCCTGCAGACGCCAATTTTGTTAAATGTGTAGTAACGTAAAAGCAAAATTTTTATATGACTTCACGCATCTTCCCCCCCCCCGTCCCTTTGTGTGTGTGTGTGGGGGGGGGGGGGCTCTCAATGCCCATGCTGCCGCGTAGGAAAATGTCAGAGTTTGCAGTGTTTCAGTCATTTTTTTATAATTATGTACGGGTTCAGTGACCCTATTTGAAAGGCGCCCTCTCGTGACAAGGGAAGTTTGGTTGTCACTAGAGGGCCTCCTGCACACCGATGTAAACAAACGCACATGGACATGAAAAGCAAAGTGCGCCTTGTATTTTTATCCCTAAAACAATCTCTGAAAGAAATATCTGGACTTTCTTGCAGTGTTCAAATGAAATATAATTATCTAGGAAACAAGGTAAGGCGACCATATTGTTGTTTAACGTTTGTATTAAGCATATTAAGTGGCGTCCAAAAACTACATTCAAGTGTAGCCCCACTAGTGGGGCCGCGGTATGCTGCGCTGAACCTCAGAGGTTCAGCGCAGCATACCGCGGCCACACTAGTGGGGCTACATTCAAGTGTTGAACGTACATCAAGATCATGTCATGCAAGTACATGATGTATACGTACGTACGTACATGACGGACGTACACTACACAATTACATGCCAAAGCATCAGTGGCGTAGCCACCGGGGGGGGGGGGGGGGGGGGGCGTGGGGGGGCGACCGCCCCCCCATGAAACCTTGTCGCCCCCCAGTCGCCCCCCCACTGAGATTTTGAGTTTCTAAAAGAATTATCATTAATCTACATGACGCCATGAGCCCTATTATGTACTACAATGTATCTTTTGCTTAGAAAATATTGGTTAAAGTGGTCAGAAATTGCCTCAGATAGCACCACAGAGCATTTAGAATCCAAAATTTTGAAGCTGATTCAATGACTCCAACCTCGAAAACAGTGTTCACAAAATTTTCTTATGCCTTTACCTGAGAAAACCTCGAAAATTATGTTTAAATTATTATCTTTTGTGCTAAGAAATTATTGGTTAAAGTGGTAAGAAATTGCCTCTGATCACACCACAGAGCATCGAAAATCCAATAGCTCAGAATACCGATAGCTGATTCAATGTCTCCAACCTCGAAAACGATGTTCAAATAATTATCATTTGCCAAGAAAATATTAGTCAAAGCATGGAGGAAAGTCGTAAGAAATTGCTTCAAATCACACCACAGAACATCTAGAATCCAATTTTTTTCGGGGCCCTTATTAGCGGGCCCCGAACTCCACGCCGATCAGTTATGATCAAGGTATGTCCCCCCCCCCCACTTTTGAGAAGCGATTGACGCCCCTGCTTGACGCCCCCCCATGAAATGTTCCAGCCCCCCCAGCGCCCCCCCACTGAAAAATTCCTGGCTACGCCACTGCAAAGCATACCAGCTGCCATTGCTGGTAAGTGCTAAAAAAAACTGCTATAGGCCCCCTACTTGAAAATGGAAAAAAAAAATGAATATGAACATTTTTCCATTTTGTGATATACGAATGGGTTTGAAACTGAGCGAACATGGCGAATGCATGAATATAACAATTATAAGAGATTTTGTGTGTTATAGTTCTTTCAAACATTTTGTCGAATTTTGAGCACAAGTCAAGTGGACTGACATTTTTCATTCATTCATTCATTCATTCCTTTTATTTTCCACATAATTGGTGCCTACGCAATACATGTATAATTATACGAAAAGAAATGTAGATGTGGATGGGGGTCCCCAAAAAGCAAATGCTTGTCAAGTAGGGATCCTAATTAACTCGATGATAGATTGTTTTGCCATCGGAAACTCAGGTAAAATTTCAAGAACTGTGTGAGACAGGTCGTGCTATCTTAAAAAAAAAAACACGCTATGACTTTAAACTTTCAGAAACGAAAATGTGCTGAGACGTGGTCTTGTCTCAAAAACTTAAATTTTCGAGTTGGGCTGTTTTGCTATCAGAGGGCCTCCCCTATATGCCAACTATGCCAAGGGCCCGTACCAATATTCAAATTATCCATACTGAAACAAACTAATCCCTAATGAAACATCCCTTTATTCTGATAGGTTGCTGCTTTCCATCGATGGCATGAAAAGCATCTTCTTCGAAGTTCGATGGCTCAGACTTCATCACCATCTCAAAAGTGGAGGACAATGCTAGCGAGTGGGCAATCTTGAAGCCTGAGTCGGGGACGGGCTGTCCAAAACAGCACACAGGATGACCGAAGACACGCATATCCCTCATGGTAAAATTTTGATTTGTGGGGTATATTGTTACTTTACATGAACCCTGAAATTCTTCAACAGAGAAAGCAACATTTATATTGCTGGTAGGGCTGTCCCAAATATATAACGAATATTTGAATATTTGAATATTCAAATATTCAAATATTCAAGCAGCAACCAAATATTCTAATAGATTTTTGTTGGTTTAAATATTCAGAAAAGAAGGAACTGTAGATTCTTCTCTACCAGATGTGCTCGCACAGTATTGACTGCTATCTTGATTTAATAGCAATACCTGTTAAGGTATTTTCAGCATCTTTACTTCTCAAGATTCTTTGTTCAGGCAGCGATGTGACTGAAGCAAATATCATGCCACTCAAAGCTGCCATTTTTGTTGTTGGCAAAAACAATGCGTACATACCCTGCATGCGCGAGAACGTGGCTGCGGATGCACCATGTGCGCTACGCACTGTCCATTGGTAGACAAGTGTCAGATTCTACACTCTTGATTGAGCGGGAACCAGTCAATTTTTTTTTAAATGCCTAGATGAGGACAAAATCAAAAACAATATTGTCATCTGCTGAGTACTGCTACTGACATAATATTGCAGTCATCTGGAGACTTCTTATGAAAGCATGCAAATACGCTGATATATTTTTACCACTGGAAGCCTGATGTTTATAATAATGTGCATCAGTAATATTGATTCACATTTCTACCACCTTGGGGTTACTCATGACTAAGTCCATGCATTCAACCCGACAGTATGTGTTCTTCAGTAACATGACTATTTTACATTAATTTTGGACCACTGAGGGCTACTCAAACACACAATCCTTGCTGACTGTCTCAGACTTTGTTCTTTTAATTCCAGGGTTTTTGAGGACGGCATCGTCAAGCTCAAGATGCAAGGAGCTTGCACCAGCTGCCCCAGCTCAGTGCTGATACTGAAGAAAGTGTACGGAACGTGCTGCAGTATGGACGTCATGGGTGATTAACAGGTAAAAAATGAAAGAACTGTCAGAAAGATCAGTTGAACAAAGTATGTATGAAGCCAAGTAAAAAAAATACTGATCTTCCGGGTTTCTTAAAATAATTTTTTTGTGTTTTCTTCCAAGATGGCCGCCGTGTATTTAAATTCAAAATGGCCGCCAACTTTTCAGTCCAAAATGACCACGACCTTTTTATTAACTATCCTACTAGTTAGTTGAGTCAAAATATGCAAACAATGTTATACATATTTTGCCCGCATTTATGCATTTTTTATGAAGTGCATGTTGTATGCATGATAAAAATAGCTTTTTGAGGAGAACAAAAATTAAAAAATATAAAAAAGTATGCGGCTTCAAAAAACGATGGGGAAGGGGACGATCTACTGATTTTTTTTTTTACTTGGCCTTAAGTATTGAATATCTATTGAATGTCAGTTTCCTGAAATCTTAGAAAATAGTGTCCCTTGATTTGCCTTATATTTGAAGGCCAAACAGCATCCAAACCAACCAAGTGACTGATCAACTGATTAACAAGTAAAACAAATCTCCCAGGTCTGTATGTGACTTTGGGCGTGATCCCTGGCTGCATGATATAGAGGTTTATGGCTTCTGTCTAGCACCCCTTGAACAAAGACATTGACGAATGAGGGTGATTCACAGTGCAGGGCGCCACCAAGAGTTTGCCACAGACAGTTCCTTTTCCCAGTGCGTTGTGGGAGATGGTCGACAAATTCGCAACACTGGACATTTGATATAGTTAGTTTTTACGTTCAGTAGTTTCGTAAGGGTATGCTTCCAGTGTAGTATTTGTTTGCCCTTTTCTTTTTTATGGTGGCAGAACGCTACGGCTCCAATCTATAACAAATTAGCTCAAGTTGTCTAATGACGCTCATTCAAATGGACCGTGTTTTGTTAACATAAACTTCAAAAATGGACTCTCCATGGCAAACTCTTCGTGGCGCAATGCATTGCGAATCGCCCGAATTGACTGACAGAGGAATTATTTAAGTTCTCAAATTAAATATACTTAAATAATCGTGTAGTCGATTTATGTAAACTAATGATTGTGTATCCTGAATTTGCTTGCATAAGCCATTCGAAGTAAAACAAGTAAATTCTAAAATGTAGTTTGCCAATAATTGTTGCTGTACAGTAATCATTGTGTTATTATCACTTAGTTAATGCATGTCATAATTTGGATCGACACATTGACCTAAGAGTTTAGAGTCTTAAGAAGATATTTCCTAATCTTGAAATCATGAATAAAAACGGACAACTCGGTTTTGAGAATTACTTTTATTACTCATTTTGTGGGCACAACTTCACACTTTTTTTGGTAGTACATGTATGATAATTTAAAAAGATTATTTTTAACTGTAAATTACTGCCTCTTGTGAATTTTCATTGCGAATTGATCCGACTATTCATTGGTATAGTTTGTGGAAAAAATGACTGAAAACGTGCCCAACGTACCCCGCCCATTCAATCTCTGAATACGGCGCATGCGTTACCAGCATCCCTTGAAATGTGACCAGCAGAGGGCGCTGTGATTTTCATGCCCCCCAAAAAGGCGGCCATTTTGACTATCATTGCCGGAGGTGTGTTGTGCTTGGTGTCGGACAGTAGCGGCGCTGGGAGGGGGGGGGGGGGGAGGCATGGGAACAGTTTGTAATTCACGAAATTTTGGGAAAGGGTCGACAAATATTTGGTTTCATGTCTGTTGCAATGGGCAAGTCTGCTATCAGTGTGGACACGTCATGAATAGAGATATTTTCAAGGCCTTTTGACGAAATCTAACTAACCTCTTTATTTTTACCGTACTTTTACGTGTGGGTGTGGTTTGAAAAGGGCGAGTAAAAAAAAACGAAACTCAAAATGTGGGGACTATAGTCGTGAAATTCTGCATGTATAGCACTTTCAAAATATGGGATATATCAGGGTTCGATCTTAATTTGTTTGTTCACTAGCCAGCCGGGCTACTGAAACGGACTCTTAACTAGCCCGCGGGCATTTTCACTAGCCCGCATTTTTTTTTTAGCTCAATTACAAAATGGCGTATTTTCAGGCTCAATTCTTAGGCAATTTTGTCAGTGTTTTTAATAAACAGATCTACTAATTCAGCCTTTTAAAACAGTTGATAAGATTAGACATAAATTGATGAGGTTTTCTTTCTGAATTTAATGACATTTCTTCCTGTCTGTTCATCTTTGCCGTATCCCAATAATTTTTTTCACTCGCCAGCTGGGCTACTTAAGGAATAGTTTGACTAGCCCGCTGCTGTTTTGACTAGCATTTGGCTAGCGGGTCACCGCTAATTTCGAACCCTGGATATGAAAGCCGAATTCATAAGCTTTCTTGTAAGTGTGCGTTCTTTAAGCAAAACGAAAACAATTCGATGGTTAAAATGGTGGTTGTGTTTAAAATTCCGTAACTTGAAAGTTACATGAGTGATTTGAATTATTCTTGCACTGAAAGATAGCTGATGAATTGGGCTTTCATATCCTAGATTTTGAATGTGCTACATGCAGAACTTCACTAAAACAATCCCGACATTTGAGTTGCGTTGTTTTTCACTCACCCTGTATTTCTAACAATGTATAACGACGTCGAGGTGAAGTTAAACTTTCACATGATGCACGGGACTTACAAACGTCTGGCCAGCATGCTGGCTTGTAAAATAATGACTTGTTATCCTCGATTCCTTGCACTGCGTGGTCAACAGTTACTGATTATATAATATCTCCCATTCGTTTCCATTGACCACATTTCTTATTTACCAGCGTAGAAAGCAAGTTTCTTTGTCACGCAAACACCCATTGAAAGTTACTCAAAGCAACTTCATTCAATCCTGCGGGACACACCCAGGAATTTTTCCTTATTTATACGTTGATGCAATATCTACCGTTATAAAGAAGGCAGTCTTTTGGTAAACAAATTTCGTGGCATTTACATCGCTGTGCGCCGCCACAGTACATTGTAAGTCAAATGTTTTTATCATGGAAATAGTCAAGTATGCAATCCTCAAATATTTCACAGGTAAATGGCTTTAAGGCGCGGTTTATTTCATTTGCTGTTTCACGTGTGGAAGGAAACAAACCCTCCTTTATTCTTATTCGTGGGGGAGTTCTTGCGGGCCGATATGGATTCGTGGATTTCAAATCTTCTACATAATTATTTTTACGTGCTGAATTTGATAGAAGTTTACAGAATATTAAAGTGATTTGGCAGTTGCGTCTGGGTGTGGTTTATATTTCTGTCATGACGTCGAGGATAACTAATAGTTATTTCGTTTGTAAGTTCCAGTCATGTAACTTTAACTTCACCTCGTTATAGGTTACGTCGTGGCAGAAATATATCCATAAATATGAACAAAGATCGACGAAGAGTTGTTTTGATAAAAACAAATTTCAACGCTTTACACGTGTTCTCATCATTTTTTATAAATTATGACATTAACACCCCAAATCCAGAAAATTCAACAAGCAATTAAATTGATTAAATTTAATCAAATTGCATTTAAATAAAAAAGACAAGCAAGATTTTGCCCCTCTTTTTTTCTCTGTTGAGTTTAGAAAACTCATTTATTCAACTTTCAGTCAATTTTTTAACAATTTCAAAGAACTTCATCCCTCAGTCCATTCATTTCGACACCCCACAACACGTTGGGCAAACAATAACAATCAAATAACAATTATTTTATGCTGAAATTTCCCTTTTTTATTTTCAATTTACCAAACCTCCATCCATGCCTATAAGAAAACTTTATCACAACACTCATTTTCAACCGTCCATGTACCCTTCTACACCTCTCACACTGCCCCTCCCCCACCTTGGCTGGTAAATCCAGATAATCTACTTATTACTCTACGTAAACCTCTTAGTCAGATGGCCTAGCGGTCTAAGACACGTAGCGGTATTCGAACCCGTGCCCGGGCGCTCCAAAGGCGTAGCCTTTGGAGCGCCCGGGCACGGGTTCGAATACCGCACATGTTTTGACTTAAACAAATATATAGCAAAAAATACATCATTTTTATTTCTTTTGGTGTTTAAAAGCCTTCATCGACCACGAGAAAAGGAAATATCACAACCAAAATTTAAAATTAATAAATTGTATGTGGTTACAAACTAATTTTATTTATTTGCAATTAATTAGGAGGGGGATTTAATGGGAAATATTATATGTTACATCCTTGAGGCGTTCAGAACCCTTAACCCACCAAGAAAAAGAGTAAATATCATAATCAAAAGTACAAATGTTAAATTACAATAAAAGGTAACCAATGTTAGTTAATATTGTTATCAGGAGGTAGATTTGATAAGGAAAACGAAATGTAATCCCAGGCTGATTGTATGGGGTATTGCGGTTTACTATAATGCTCGAAATGTAAAGGCTGTAATATTTGTATCCAAAATGTATAAATTACAGAACAAACTGAGGAGATTGAAATGTTATTGGATTAGTTATCTTTTTATTGAAATGAAAGAGTATTGTACGTCCTTTGGTTATCATAGGAAGAAAGTACATGTTATTTTTTTTTCCAACAGAAATGGACAAAAATGTACATCCACAACATAAGGGAATCCACAAAACAAGGAAATCCGACTTGGTCTTCCGTTTTTATTTGTTTTTTTAAATTAAAATTGGCATGGACTTATATAATTATTGGCGAAAACGTGGACTTTATATTGGAAAGTGTAAATAAAAGGAACAAAATATTATCTATGCATGAATCGTTGATTAAAATAGTGTGGACGTTCAGAAGTGATGGCTCTCTACCAGTTGTTATGTTTATAAATGGAAAAGCTGGAAAGTTTTCAATAAAAAAATGTTCACCCCATGTACAGTTTAATTGCCTAAACATGTAATAATAGTTTTAAAATATATTGTATTTATAATATTGGTTTAACACGTATGCATTATTCAAATAATGTTTAATCTCACTGTATTGAATGTTATTGTATTTGTAATGTATTGTATAATTATACATGTTTGTAGTCATTATTTATTGTATGCAGGGCCCCAATGGAAACCAGTTTTAAACTGTTTGGGCATCCCTGGGTAAAGAAATGGAATAAATAAAAAAATAAATAGAGCGCCTTCTTTTGACCATATGATTAAATTAAATGACTATACCATGGTAAAAAACGAAATTTCCAGTTTTAAATAGGAATATCTAGCGCCCTCTATCGACGGATGAATTTATACGCAATTTTGGCCCTTGGAGACCGTAAATAAGGTATATAGCGCCCTCTATCGACCCCACGTACAGTTAAAATGCCTAAACAATGAATATAGAGCGCCCTCTATTGACATTTTGGTTAAATTCAATGCCTATACCATGGTATAAAACGAAATTTGCAGTTTTGAATAGGAATATCTAGCGCCCTCTATCGACGGCTGAATTTGTATGCAATTTTGGCCCTTGTGTAGACCGTAAAATAATAAGGTATATATTTATAGCGCCCTCTATCGACCCCACGTACAGTTTCAATGCCTAAACAATAAATATAGAGCGCCCTCTATTGACATTATGGTTAAATTCAAAGACTATGCCATGGTATAAAACGAAATTTGCAGTTTTAAATAGGAATATCTAGCGCCCTCTATCGACGGCTGAATTTGTATGCAATTTTGGCCCTTGTAGACCGTAAATAAGGTATATATTTATAGCGCCCTCTATCGACCCCACGTACAGTTTCAATGCCTATACAATGAATATAGAGCGCCCTCTATTGACACTATGTTTAAATTCAATGACTATGCCATGGTATAAAACGAAATTTGCAGTTTTGAATAGGAATATCTAGCGCCCTCTATCGACGGCTGAATTTGTATGCAATTTTGGCCCTTGTAGACCGTAAATAAGGTATATATTTATAGCGCCCTCTATCGACCCCACGTACAGTTTCAATGCCTATACAATGAATATAGAGCGCCCTCTATTGACATTATGGTTAAATTCAAAGACTATGCCATGGTATAAAACGAAATTTGCAGTTTTAAATAGGAATATCTAGCGCCCTCTATCGACGGCTGAATTTGTATGCAATTTTGGCCCTTGTAGACCGTAAATAAGGTATATAGCGCCCTCTATCGACCCCACGTACAGTTAAAATGCCTAAACAATGAATATAGAGCGCCCTCTATTGACATTATGTTTAAATTCAATGACTATGCCATGGTATAAAACGAAATTTGCAGTTTTGAATAGGAATATCTAGCGCCCTCTATCGACGGCTGAATTTGTATGCAATTTTGGCCCTTGTAGACCGTAAATAAGGTATATATTTATAGCGCCCTCTATCGAACCCACGTACAGTTTCAATGCCTATACAATGAATATAGAGCGCCTTCTATTGACATTATGTTTAAATTCAATGACTATGCCATGGTATAAAACGAAATTTGCAGTTTTGAATAGGAATTCTAGCGCCCTCTATCGACGGCTGAATTTGTATGCAATTTTGGCCCTTGTAGACCGTAAATAAGGTATATAGTTGTAGCGCCCTCTATCGACCCCACGTACACTTTCAATGCCTAAACAATGAATATAGAGCGCCCTCTATTGACATTATGGTTAAATTCAATGACTTTAGCATGGTATAAAGCGAAATTTGCAGTGTTGAAATAGGAATATCTAGCGCCCTCTATTGACGGCTGAATTTATACGCAATTTTGGCTGTAGACAGTAAATAAGGTAGATAGCGCCCTCTATCGACCCCACGTACAGTTTTAATGCCTAAACAATGAATATACAGCGCCCTCTATTGACATTATAGTAAAATTCAATGACTATACCATGGTATAAAGTGAAATTTGCAGTTTTGAATATAGGAATATCTAGCGCCCTCTATTGACGGATTAATACGCAATTTTGGCCCTTGTAGGATATAGCGCCCTCTATCGATCCATGTGCATATTTGGCGTTAAATTCATACTTTTTCTAGGTATTAAGTATTTATTGCCTCTGCTGACGATATGTAGATCTTAACACCCCCCCCCCCACGAAAAAAAAATTAGCTGACACGAAATTTAAGAAACGTTCACGAACTGAAAAATATGCAGAACTATGTACACATTTTATTGAAAACATTGTTTTTATTAACAAAGTAGTTACTGTTTTAAATTTTTTTCAGCCTAGAGTCTACCGTTTTAAGTAATTCATGAGTTATGTACAGTTGTTATTCAATAAATCAACCATTTTGATTCTCATCACAAAAAGAATCAAATATTATTTTACGATTTCCAATATTTGTGGTTGACTACAAAAATCTAAACATTCTACTCATGCTCACGGCAAAAAAAGAAAAAAGAAAAAAGTGACGATAGTTTTAAGGTGAATAAGGCGGGGGAAATGATTCTGGTTTTGTTGTTGTTTACTGAAGGAATAAATTAATGATTATAAGTGAAGATGTTCTCAAATTGTGAGATCTGCAATATAGCTCTGCATACTCCGTTGGTAGAACACCCGTACATAGTTTGGCAGTTACTGGTTCTAACCCTCCTGTCATTTTTTCCTCCATTCAACTTAAAATAAAACACACATTTTTTTTTTACGTTACGTTTCTAAGGGATGACTTGCTTGTCAATCATTTGATTAAAAAGAAAAAAAAAAAACTGGCCTTTTTTTTTTTAACCAACATGAGGTTTCTCTGTGATGCATTTCACACAAAACTGATTTTTGAAAATAACTAAATTAGGGTGCTTATGAGGTAATCATTCACATTATTTTCTGCACATACTTAATAAAGTACAGAACGCACGACCAAGACAACAAAATGTGTTTAGCTTGGAAGGTATGAGCCAATGATCCCTCTGCAATGTACGTTATTTTACAAATTTCTCAGCTATTGAGAAAACAAGAAATCATAGCCATAAGGAGCCCATCACAATTCATATCTGGGAGAGTTTCGGACAAGTTCCAGACATTGTATCTGGTATAGTTGCAAAATTCTGAACAACTTTCTCGCAATCTTCCGGCAATGAAGTTATCATTATTGTTGAGTCAAGCCGTTGCTAGTGAAAATTTTCCAGGAAAATGTCCGGGACAAATGCAGGGCTTCTTCTAGACAAAGTGAATGATTCTACCCGAAACTCATCCGGAACTTGCTCCGGATATGAATTGAGACGGGCCCTAAGCAATTGACATCAAATAAAACTGACTGAATCTTGCTTGATAAACACAATTTGCATGCTTAGTAACTGCATGAATGTTCATACTCAATGCTAATGCAAACACAAATGTGAGTTTGTGACATCACAACACATGTTGGAGCTTTAACTTTACAATAGTGGAACACATTTCAACTCCACTGAAAGTTTTGCCATGAGTATCTCATGATCACAAATTCACTTTGCATGTGCATCCGTGAAGAGTATGACCCAACTTTACATCTGAATAACCGTGAATGTTATGGTTTATGTCTTCATTAACAAAAACAAGGAGTAAAAAAGAAACCAGTCTGACAAACAGCGGAAGAAGGTAACTTACCACACAAAAAGTTACTGATGTAACTGTTCAGAGCAGTGTCTCTTGTTGAATAAACTCTACCTCTAAAATGTACAACACTGTGACCGTTCACTTTCGTCTCTCATACAAAAACATTTCAAATTCAAGTACAAAGATCTGTCATTTTTTTCTGTCATTTACATTTCTGTACAATGGAACAGACTTCAGCTGTAGAAAAAATTACGAATAATACAGGTACACTTTGTTAAAAAAATGCATGTACCGGCTTCACAATAAGTTAAATTATGTTTACAATTGAGGGATATACATGTACAGTGTAATAATTATTTTTGTATAAAAAATTGGCACAGCATTTTTTTTTTAGTAAACTGTGTCGACTATTTACAACATTTTGTTAACTATGTGGTTTAGTAAATACATGTACAACCGTGGTATATAACTAAGAGGTAAAAACAAGAATATTGTGTCGATGGCTAAATGAAATACAACTTTTTATGTTGAATGACTAACAGTGTTAGGTATGTAAAAAGGAAGAAAACGACTATTTCATGAATTTTGGCAACTTTTGCGAACATGTGTTGGCTGAATATTAGCAGTCAACCAATCACAGGGCTTCTTATAAAAATAATAATAAAAGAGGCAATATCATCATATATTAGTATCCACTTCGAAGAACCATTCTGATTGGACTTAATAATCACATGACCAATGCTCAAGGTTCTGACTGGCCAGCACAATTTAAAAAACGCATCTGAATGTAAGTTGTTGAAAAATATTTTCAAAAAAAAAAAAACGAAGGAAAACCAGATTGTGACCAGAATTACAGAATATTTCTTAACACTGAATTTGACAGAGAAAGCAATACAATTCCAAGGGGCCTCAAAGTTACAGTTACAAAATTACAGTTGGGAACTTTACCCCATTTTGGCACACGAGTTAGAGAGCAGAAAAACGGAGAATTTTATCACTAAAGTGCAGATTTTGTTTCTTCAGAATTCTCTAAATGTTCTAAATGTTGCCAAACAGTTTCATTGCTTGTTTGGTTTACGACATATCAGGAAATGTTTGCAGTGCTTCACTTTTTGAGTAACTTAAAATTTGAATTGTTGGCAGTGTGGTGAACCAAAAAATCCAAGCAACTAAGTAAAAAAGGGGCTGGGTAGTTTAGCGAATTCACAAAAATGTGGAAGGGGGAAAAAAAAGAGGATACTTGTTTCGGTTAAGACCTTGATGAGATAAGTCAAAATGGAAAAATGGTGGCATTCTCTTTTCGAATGTAGTATATAGCTTCAGTCACTACGCGCAGGCAGTGGCATTACTTGGCCAGGGTAACGCAATTCAATATATGACAGTGGCAGGATTTTTTTTCAGTTTCGTGAAAAAAAGGAAGCCACTAACATAGTCAAGAGTACAATCTTGTAGATATTTCGACGAAAAATGTGGGGTTTTTTTAAGAAAAGGGGACTGATATAGTATTTAAGCGATACAATGTAAAACACTTTTTGGTTCATAGCTGGGTGTAACTTTGGTGTTTAAACTGATAATACATTTTCACAGAAAACATAATAGTTTCAAAGGTGAATTCGTCATTTAGGGGACAAGTATTATGGGAAAGATTCAGATTTATTTTGGCAAACACACTAAATTTGAATACATGAAAGTAAATATGAATATTCATATGCTCTGGCATCTTTCCCACAATACATGGTTATGGCTATTTGAAAAACAAAATGTGACCAACATTTATTTTATATCTACAATGTCGCAGTGTGGCTGGCTTAAGTAGAACTAAGTAGAATTTTGCCATTCATGAAACAGTCACAGACATATTGTGCTGCATTCAATTCAATGCATTTTTTTAATGCCATAAGTGACTGTTGCATGAAGTTTACACTCTAATGACATCCAATTTGTCCCATCTTGTAACTGTACAAGTTGACAAATTCTCTCAAGAAAAACTTAGAATTTTTTTGAGAAACCAAATCATTAAACTGGTGGAAAACAAAGCCAAATACCCGTTTCTGTGACGAGAGAAAACAAAGTCTGAAATCTGAGAGAATTTGCCAACCCGCAATTATCTTTCAAATTTTTAATCTTTTCAATTGAAATTCAAATTGGCAGGGCAGTGCATAAAAAAACAACACAACAATGGCTCTGGACACATAAGTTCATCAGTGGACCCTTATTTATGCCAATACACATGGTTCCAAATTTTGGTGCTGAAAACATGCATCTTTGAGGCAAAGATGTTTTTGAAACCACGGCTTCGTACCAGTTTCCAATTTTATATCTCCGACTCCAGAATTGTTCCAAAGTTTTTACATGCACACAAAATGGAAACACCGTTCACCTTGATCTGATATTGTAGGCTTTGATGTTCATGAAGCAAAACAGTGATTCTATTGAGCTGGAGTTCTCAACGTCAGGGGCCTGAAAAACTCCTGCAGCCTCAGCTGGACATGATGCCAACGTTTGGAAACACCAAAGGTTTCGGTGGTGCACAGTATGGTCTCCTCAGCGGTTCCTAAGAGACAGTGGGCGAGACACTGGGAGGGGCATTTGAACGTACTGCCGATGGTACCTGATGCTCACACTCGTGCGCATGTACCCCATCTCCCCCAGAGCTTTCGCGAATGGTGACAAAGCACCATTTATTGTCCACACATTGAGTCCATTGTGGAAAACTTGTGTGTGGAGAGCCATGGCTTGTAGTAGAGGTGGGCAGGGCAGGGAGTGATGGCAGGGGGGAATATGTTACACCTTGAAGTCCTCCTCTTGCATTTTCGCTAACGTCTTCTTGACTCGCAGCATGGTGAGACGGGCGGCCGGGTTGGGATGCCAACACTGCGTCATGACTCTTGCTATTGATAGAAGGCTCTGCGGACAAAACAACAAAATGGACATTCATTTTAGAACTCCGATAGACTTTCTCACCCTAAACGCTCCAGGTATATTTTTGCTAAGACCCGTTTCAGACTTGAGTTCCAGAGTTGCGACAAATCAAATTATGCTAAACATTTCAATTAAGTACATGATAAGCTTGATGTTTGAAACATGTAGGAGTGACTGTTGCTGTCATTCAGAACAACTCCTGAGTATGGTCAATGGATATCAATACATAATCCTAACCCCTAGGATATTTTGGCTAGAAATGCTTCTGAATGCAGCAACAAACAACACTTGTCAAAATGACGAGCCTGCTTGGTTTAGCAAGATCCATCAGGTAAAAAATCTCAAGGGTCAAACGGCCTCAGAGTCTGTGGTCACCAACTGCAGCAGGATACAACTGTGGAATCGTTCAATAGGACCAGCTCCCATTGTCACAGAATTGGCCGTTTATGCACTGGTGTTGGTAGCTCAAAGATGCACGGTGTTTTGTTTGGCAGGGATAACATTTGTATCTCTGAAACCAGCCCACCTTCATATCCAAGAAATCCAACCAATTTCAGCCAACAAATTCACAGACTCTTCACACAAATGAGAAATTCAGCATCTGATAATGAGCCTTTCTACTCACATCGTCTCCACTCCACCTGTTTGGAATGTCAGGTCTTCTCCTCTCCTGAATGACAACCTTCTGCATCTCCTCGTAAGTCGGGTTGGAGCTGGGGACAAAGTCGTGGTACGGGACCTGAGCGTCTTCTACTATTCCTGTAGATTGAGGAACGGGGGGAAAAACCAAAAGTTAAGACATCTGAAATTAGCATATAACAATGATAACTTGTGGTGATTTGACTGACTTGTGAGAAGTTGACATCTCTGATGTAAAATGTTGAAGTTAAGTCCCTCACAAGATCACCGAAAGTTATCCAGTCCAACGTCAAGCTACAAGCTTTAACTACAATAAAAGAAAGCTTTTGATATTGTTCATCCAATGTTCCCTGTGACTGGGCTTGTGATGTACTTGTGACTTGTGAGAGATTGTTTGTTTTGTCAGCAACTAAAATGACCATCATGGCCTGATATGTTGGGTACGATGACATGAAATCTGTCAACAACAAGGTCCCTGTCAGATACGTAATTCAACCATACGTTGCCTTTAGTTTATCAAAAGTATCCATTATAAAATTGTCCTTTACTGCGAAGATATTACACTCAAATCTTCTCAGGATAAACACAAGTTACAGTCGAACACCTTTATAACAAGGTCCTTGGGACTTTACAAATTACTTTGTTATAACAGGTACCTTGTATTAACAGTAACGGAAAACAAAGGAAAACAAAGACTTAGGACCTAAAATGTTGCTTGTTATAAGCATGACGTTGTATTAACAGTGCTCTTCCTATCAAGTAACTTCAGCCACAATCAATTTTGAAACAGAAAGACAAAGCAATTGCGATCTGTGGTACAGACCTCTTGTGACACATCTTCTTGCGATTTCCCAGAGGACCAGACCAAATGAGTAGACGTCTGCATTCTTGTATGATTCAAAGGCGTTGACGTTAATCGTTCCATCCAGCACCTCTGGCGCCATATACCGCCTGTTGCCTGTCCGTGATTTGGTCGGTAAGTCAACTTCGTTGGTCTCGCTGGAATGAGAACAGCCAAAATGCAAAGAGTAATACCAGTGAATGCAATGCCTACTGCAAAAATGTCTGTATCAAAGAATGGTCTGAGTACGATGTAAATTTCGCACTTCCTTTAGATGAGAAATGAAAATATTGGAACACGGTAAATTATTTGCTTTTGACTTCTACCAGTTTGAATACTCCTGCAATAATTTCGTAAAGTCCAATTAAACTTGTCTTTTTCCTTGACAGTTGTTGCACTTTAATACCTCCAGATGTAAAATGTCAACTCATAGTTGTAATTGGGGTACCAGTTCCCCACAGATACTGCTCAAAAACTGGATTGCCGAGCTGATCACAACAACTTGTCACATTACATTTCCGGGATCTTAAAATTGATAACATTTTAATTGACTGTCGGTAATATTTCAAAGTTGGTAATAAAAAACGTCATTGAATTTTTTTTTGGAGGGGTAATTTAATTTTCGGCTTTGATCAACTTGCTTTCTTGCTTGTCAGCTGATGATCTCGTTAAGCCAAGTGAAGCATCCGGTGAATTAAAAGTGACGGGGATGTAATGAAGAGTTTGTCCCAGTTTGGGAAACGGCACCCCACGAAGCAATCAGCGACATTTCCTACATGGGAAATCGTTCAATTTGGCGACTCTGAAACCACTGCTAGAGTACCCCTCAAGACATGTTAATCCTGTTGGGGGTTTTGAATTGGGGGGGGGGGGGGCAGCAAACATCCCTGGGGGGTCATTATGGTCACTAGACATGGCCACATCCTAATTGTGTTTCCTTGCGTGTGGATTTTCTCTCAGACAGCTGAGTGTATGACCATCTCATGCAGAACTCTCTTCCTAGCTCAGTTGCAAATGCTCTTTTGAGAAAACTGCATTATCAGAAAGATTTAATAATAGTAATAATAAAAAAATCCAGGGTGGAATGGGCCCCCAAAATCTGGCTTTTGAAGGTGCGCCAAACTGGCTCCTGCCCATACACCAATATCCACTTATTCAAGTAGCTTGCTCATTCTGATACGCACCTTAAAAACCTTGCTGCTCGCGACATGTCGCCAATGGCGCACGTCCCATTGGCCCTGACCAGGACGTTGCGACTGTTGATGTCGCGGTGCGCGATGGCAGGCTTGCCCTGCATGCCGCAGATCTCCGAGTGGAGATGGGCCAGGCCGTTGGCCGCAGAGTGGGCCAGTAGCAGCATGGCTTTGGTGTCCAGGATGTTGTAGCGTAGGTAGTTGAACAGGGCCCCGTGCTCGTGGTACTCGGTGATCAGGAAGAGTTGGGTCCAGGAACCAGACCCTCGGATGTCGGCAGCTATGAAACCTAAACAAGATGAACAGAAAAAGCAACTTATTAACAACAAATTAACAACAGAATCTGTGTAGAATTTGACTGTGAAGGTGAAAAGCTGCCTCATTCAGGCAACAAGTTGATGGTGATAAAGTGACTCCCTTTTATTAAATCCTGGAAGAGAGAAACAACTGTTGTTAACTACCCTGCTTATGGACATCAACATTGCTGTATCCAGACTCACGGTCCCTTAGCACCTACCTAAGATGTGATCATGCCTCGGGACAACTCTTTGATATTCACAAAAACAACTTGAAGTGGCCTCTCCAAAAGTTCAAAGAAATTATGTGGTGGGGCACTGTCCTGTAAATCTCTCCTATTGTGGTAGACTCCCTTGCTCAAGGACATTAGACTCCCAGCACTTATCTAAGATGTTATCATCCCTCAGGAAACATCTTGATATTCACAAGCATTAACCAATAAGTGGCTTTTACAAAACAATTGGGTGGGGCACTGTATTGCAAATCAAGCCTATTGTGGTTAACTCCCTTGCTCCAGGGCATCAGACTCCAAGCACCTACTGTATTCAGACTCACGGTCACTCAGCACCTACCTAAGATGTTATCGTGCCTCATGAGAACCGTTTGATAAATCTCCGTCTCCCTGAACCAGCTGGATTCTTCTTCCGTCAGGTAGATCTTGACGGCAACGTGCTCTCCCCTCCACTTGGCCTTCCAGACCTCACCGAAGCGCCCCTGCCCAACGCAGCGTATTAACTGCACCTGTTTGGCTATCGTGCGCTGAACCTGAAAAAAAAGAAAAAGCAGTGTCAAATCGAGAACAAGTACACTGTCTATCCAAGCCCCAAAGTCACATCTCAAGTCAATTACTTTCAAAGAAGCTACCATTTATTGTGATCTGAAGACAAGTTTCTCGTCGTGGATGTTTACTGGTACATGGCATTACTCTGAAAGGTATTAGGGAAATGAAGCAGATAGAAATGAAGGTTTCCACCCAAACAAAATTGCATTTGGGCAAATCCAGCGTTATGAAAGGAAATGTAAAACCAATTGACCAGATCTCATTAAACGATTCAGAGAAATGATCCAAAACTCCTAGTCTGTAATCTCCTTGACCATTACTAGATGATGGATGTATAAGATTTGGTAAAAAACTTATTTCAGGTTTATTCACTGAGCTCTCATTAAGAGCTTGATCACGGGCATTAATTAACGTTGGGATGGCCCGTTTCACAGTACAGACTTTATCACTGTTTTCATGACAGAACAGGCACACAAGATGACAACACACTGATTGTCAAACTCAATGTCCCTCAATGAGCATTCCGTTAATCATGGACATCACATCAACCCAAATTAGCAATTTCTAGCTCACAATTCTCCGAAGCAAATCACAAAGTCTTATCTGGGACTGACTGCTGGGGTTGTTTTCCTCCTCGTTCATTATCCGACATTTCCTTTCCTGTCCTCCCTTGACACATCGAGGCACTTTGTTTTAGTCTGCTCCAAAGTGCACACGGCCTTGTTTTTTCTGGGTTTTTTTTGGCAGTGGCAGCTGCCCGTAAAAACAACTTTATTTCAGGCTTGTAGCGAGTACATGACTTGACTTGAGTCCAACTCAAGTTGCAATGTTCTCAACTTGATGACGTACTACCGGCAAATTACTCGGCTTGAGACTCTGAATATTTCTACTTGAGTTACTGCTCATAAAGACTTCAAACAATAAGGGGAGAATTAGTACTTTGAAGTTACGCAATTTAATGTACAACTTGTAAACTTGTAGCTGTAAATCTCTTGAGCAATAGTGTGACGTAACTAGACTCAAGCACACTTTGTGACTCGACGCAACAGTGTTGACGTACGGACTGCACTCAACTTGAGTTAGTGCCTTAGAATGACTCTACTCGACGCGAGTCACAAAATTCAGTAACTTGTACTGAAAGCTGACTCACGGTTCTGGTTACTCACTTACATGTGACTCATACTTGGTGCAAAGACTTCACAAAGTTTTGGCATTGCAAATTGCAAATATTGTACAGATTTATATTCCGGTGAATTTCTTTGCCAATATTTCGTGATATTTTGTGAATATCTGCATTCCTATTTCAAGAAGTATGACCAAGAACCATGAATCGGCCTTCAGTCCGTCGGTCAGTCTGACTTACGAGTAGTGGAAGCCCAGAGCCACTGCCTGATCCAGAGACTCGGTTCAGAAGCTCGCTGAGTGATTCCCCGTCAGTGATGTACGTCTCATTTTGCCGCGTTCTGCTGACCTCCACGTCAAATCTCCTCCTGGCTTCCCTCTTTTTTAACCTTGGGGAAGACAGCAAAATATAAGACAGATAATCACAAGGATCATCATTACGAAAAGAATGATCAGTATGGAAGAAAAACGAGCAACGCAAGAGGTTGGAGTCAGATTAAGCCCAGAATATGAAAGTCATTTGTGATATAGAAAAAGGGTTTTTGCTTTATGCCCTAACTCACCCGCTGAACTCCATTGTACAGAGTCACTGAATGTCAAGTCCGAAACTAAGACTTTGGGGTCTGGCTCAATGACTCTTGCTCTTTTACTGATTCATTTGGGAGTCAGGGATCTAGACTAACACTAACAGTCTTTGGTGTTGTTGGGCCCTGATGAAGACTAATCCACTGACCACAATTGGAACACACAACTGAAATGGTACAACACTCACGCACACTTTGAAAACCTTCTTTAGTTTGGGGCACAGGTGTAATTTGGCAACCCAATTGGTCAAAAAAACACTGGATGGGTGTGCACAATCTGGGAGTGAGTGTTGTACCGCCTGAATGATGATTTCCAATTGTGGTTTACGGGATTGGTCTCTATTTGTCACGATGCCCAGAATCTTACCTGATATAAAGGAAGGTACTTGTAAGAATGAATAGGACTGCGCAGATTGTTACTGAGACTAGGAGTACAATTTGATGAGCTGTGTCGTATTCGTACTGATCCAGAGGTTCAACTGCATCAAAAAGAGAAAAAAAGGAAAGACACAAATTAGCAATTAAATAATACACAAGAATCGCATGAACATTGTTTTTGTTAAATTTCTTTTTTTTGAATAAGCATTCATCTTTAATCAACTAAATGTTATACAAGTTGATTGCTTTTCAAGATCCTGTGAAGGCGAGACAAATAATTGACAAGCTTGCTCTGGTAGGACTCAAGCCCATGACCACCTGGTTATTTAGAGCAGACTTCCTGCAAAAATTACTTTTCTGTTGACAAATCTTTTCTAAACCTCTTTTTAAAGTTTGGTTTATAGCTTTTTAGAAATGAGTCACAAAGTTGGCTGGAGCAGAATAACAACATGAATGTTAGGTGGTTTGTCACTGTTTGAAAATCTAGGTTGGGTGCGTGACAACGAATAATGTAATAAGTGACAGTAATGACGTATGCGCAGAAACAGGTGTTGGGAAACTCTCGGCAAAAACAGTGACAGGAATGTGACCAAAAATAAGCAGGCGTGAACCCCAGGTTATGAATTTTATCTCACTGTTTGAACCCTTCTTTGTCCCTCTACGTGATTTATAACGTCATGGATTTACAGGGGGAGCAAGGTAATAACTCAATTGTTGGGAGGGTAGTAGAGTCGTGAGAATCGATTCTTGAGCCAAAAGGTTGGACTCGGAAAGTTTATCCAAGGGTTCTCCAAACTTTTTTTTCTGGGAAAAAGATCGAGGACATTTCTAAAATCATTATTTCACAATCCCACGTTGCAATTTGGTAACTTTTATTTGCGGCCAAAATTTGCATGAATCAACGAACAAAATGACTGATCCTTTAAGCTCCGCCCCTTGATGGTAAGCCAATCCAGATGCATTTATGTAGGTCATTCCTGAAATAAGTAGAGCTACGGCTTACCGGGGTATTTTTGTAGTGCTCAAATGGCAAAGCCATAGTCACTAAGGCCAAAAAAAAAAAGTCTCCGGTTTCTGGTATGCGCGCGCGTCGCCGTAGCCATGCGCGTCGGCAAAATGAAAAAGTTTTTTTTCAATGAAAGATGATGTCTCAAAACCGCCAAACTCACTGGTTTGACTGGAATCCTGCTGCTGCACAATTTTAACGTGTTTTTAGATTGGGTTATGGATGAGAATAAGCTTTATGTGGCCTCTCTGGACTCCCATATATTTGCACTAAGTTTAGTCGGGCACCATTTGCAGTCATCAGCACACATTTGAAGCAAAAAAATCAGGTAAAAAAAAAAAAAAAAACGCGTTGCCGCACCACTTTTTGGGCAAGCTCCATACCAGAAACTGGAGACTTTTTTTTTTTGGCCTAATGTCTTGATTTTGACATGTACATGTAACATGTACTGTGGGAAACAATTCCACACTACATGTTAGAGCGCCATCTTTTTACAAGAACTTGACCCCCACCTTTCTGTCTTCAAACCCAACCCCTTCGGGACAGTTGGAGTCTGTTGTCCAGTCCTGTCTAATCCTCCCTAATCCTACCCTAATCCTGTCTAGGTGGCTAATCCCAGAGCACCAGACTACTCAGAATTGCGGAATGTCGCGGGATTGCCTGCAAGTCTGAGTAAATCAAATTGTAATTGAAGGTGATGAGTGCTTCTGATCCTGTCAGGATAGAATCAGGTTTTTACAAATTGTTGTTTGAAAGTACCACGGAAGGACACTCTTAAGGCCAAAAGCAAAATTGAAGCAATTTTCATGATACTAATTAAACATTGGAACTTTCATTGTGGCATTCGCCAATACCTTACGAATACCACTACGCACTGAAATTCGAGTGAGGTGTAGCTCGACGATAGTGTGGATGATCGATGGTCGGCCGTTAATAAAATATAAACAGTCGCACACATGTACTAACCTGTTTGTAGCGCAAACAGCGACCTCATGCGGCTAGACTACAATACGCAAACCAGTTGGTGCTGAAAAAAAACGTCTTAGAACAACCGCTGCGATGGCCTGTCTTTTTCGGGCATTTTTCGTTATCTTGTCGCTGGCTTTCTATCGAGTTATATTTGGTCTGAGGACTCCAAACTTGTTGGAGAATGTAGCCACACTATCCCGCTCACTATCCATGTAAAAGATGAGCCTCCACGACCAAGTACTGAATAATAATCTCATCTTTATTCTCATATGGGGTCGTCGCTGGAAATCCAACGACAAAATAAAGAAAAACATCTGCTAAGCTAACGGTTGTTCCAAGTTATTTGTTCAGCACCAACTGATTTGCAATTGTAGCCTAACCGCGTGAGGTCGCTGTTTGCGCTTCGTACAGTACATGTTACTGCATCGCACGCAAGGCCACTGTTTATGTTACATTAGCAGCCGACCATCGATCATCCACACTAACGTTGAACGCCTTGACCAAGGCTACGTGAAGAATAAACCGGCCTTAAACACATAATATTCAAAGGAATTCAATCTTGACCAAAGTTATCCCCAAGGAGGGCAGCATTTGGTAGTCCCTTATGTGACACACATACAAGTAACAGGCCTTGTTTGGGCCAAGGTTGAAGGTATAAACAAATTAGTATCAACAGACTGTCTCTCCCCATCCGTTTTCTGCATTACATGGACAATAATTCAGGATGAGCAAATTGGGCTAACCCTCTCCTAGAATTCCAATGAGGGCAGCCAAAAAAATTGGGGGGGGGGGGGGTCATATTTTTAACCAAGTTTCCGGTCTGAAATTTCGAGTTAGCGTGGGCATGTTTATACATGATTTGCTATTCTTTTGATGGAAATAAGTTCTCAATTTCAACTTAACATGGTTTTTTAGTTAACCGGTTTTGACTTATAGAGATTTCACTGTGAAGTGTAGTGAAAGAGAACCAAAAACCTGTAAAATGTCACACGGTTTCAAGTGTATAGTAGAATTGGAACACCAGATTCTCCAGGTGGGAATCGAACCTGGGTCACAAGATATTAGAGGGTAAGGCCACTACACCTACCCAAGAGCATCTGACCTCATGCTGGAATCCTTGTTCAGGATATTCAACATTTTCCTTGATAAAAAAAAAGCCCAAACACATGTATGGATGGTACTCTAGCTTGGTATAGACTGCGTGTTTTTGTATAAAATTTTAAAAAAGCGTAAAAACAACGCAAAGAAAGCGTACACAAAAGGTCTAAGAATGTGTACATGTACATGAACAATGTTTGTACATGTACAATGTACATGTACATGTACATGCACAGTGCAGTTGTACACAGTTCAAACAGTGAATACAACTGTACATTCACCAAACACGTACATGTACTTTACCAGCCATCTGCTTTTGCAGTTACACCCGACCGTAATCAAATGATAATCAGCCACAGAAGCGGAGACCATGTTTTTGATTTGTCTTGACTTAGCCTGACTACATTCTTGAAGCTGGATGGCTGAACCATCTGTCAAGCAAGCAGTGACATGTGAATCCCATCTTCTGCCGTTTCAGTTCTCAATTCACAGAGCCCAACATTTATTATCTTAACAACTGCTTTTTTTTTTTAAGCAGTAAACCCAGAACCCATGGCCCATTTCAGGCAAAGTCTGGGGCCGGTATTAAAGGCTTTCTGGCTGTTTGGACCAACCCTGCGTAACCCCGCCAGCATCAATTTAAAGCAGACCCCAAAAGCCAGATTTGGTTTGATTGAATTATTCCTGTAATGTACATTATTCGCTCCCTTCCAGACTGACATCCCTGCAGTATTTTTCCAACGACCCAAAGGTTTTTTTTTTTTTTGGGTCGCTCAAGATTACATTGGTGACCTGAGGGTCTTGCAGGCTCCGTCAGCACAGCCTGCTGCAGTGGAACCGGCTTCTTAGGGCAGGGTACCAGGAGACTCTAGGGCCAGACTGGAATCCATAGACTGGCACCAGGAGGGTCAGAGGTCTGGTCTCACTAGGCCAGTTATCTGTTGACTCCTTTGACTTCTCGCAAAAGGAGGAACACGCGGACTTGTGATGGGTCCCTTCCCTTTATTAGACTGACTCCCCTGGCGAATTCTGCAATCTCTCATTCTTTTTTTTCCCCTTCTACTGCGGTTGTTTTTTTTATGGGCATGGACGTTTTTATGGACTTGGGATGTTTAGTGAGGCTTGGAGTATCAGTGGCAGGAAATAAAACTGGGGTGAAATGGGGGCATTTAGCTATTTCTGTAGCGGCGGCAGTACTGTTTATGATCCTCTTTTGTTGCCAACAAGACTTTATTATCAACAGAGTTTTATATTCACTTGGAAAATACTGATCCCTACTCTGTTGGCTACTATTGTATTTTTATTTCTTCTGCCATGAGAAATTATGGGCCTTCCAAACTCAACCAAAATCTGGCAGTCTCCAGTAACCTGATGACATGCTGTGACCAATAACATTTTTTAATACCAGTACTTGTGAAAATGTAGTCATACTCATATTCGTGAGAAAAAAATCCCTGTACTGGTGCTCATGGCAATGTATTGATAACTGCATGCACATGAATATATTCTCTTATCTTTTTGAATTTTTAGCTGTGAAATTTCAACAAAACTACCGTTCAGTAGGTTTGTACTCGTAGCAATGTACTAGTACGCTTGCACTCAAGGAACAAGATCCTTGTGATTTTGGCAGTAAAGGACTGGTCGGTTTGGGCAGTACAGGGTCAATTTACCTGGAATATCTGCAGTTGTTGTAGGGGCGAGCGTCGGGCTTAAGCCTAGGTTACACATTGGCTTGTCGTTGCAGCACATCATGATGCGTGGAATCGTGTGTGCCTTTCCCTTGCATTGGAAAAGACCACCATCCTCCATGGGCGCTAGACAACCATGTGACCTGCAGAAGTGACATGAAGGAGAAAACGCAGAAAATTGTTACAAAAATTGGATCAACACCACGAAAAAAATAGTTACATTTCCTGTTACATCAAAAAAAAATAATAGGGTGGGTGAGTGGGTAAAATGTTATCTTTTTGAGGCTCTACATTGTTTCATAGCCAGAAACAAATATGGTGGAATGATGGTCGATTAATTTTAAAAATTTGTTTACAGTGGTTTTTTTTTTTGCAAGCATTCCTGAGAGTTAATTAACATGTAAATGAACTGCATTTCTGTTCTGTTTATAGGCTTTGCTGCAGAGTGTTAATATATTCATAGAATAGAGGACAATGTCCAGAAAAACCTAGGGTGGGGCGTCACCATAAGTTTTTGCTTTTAATTTTTTGAATTGCATTTAAGCGCTGGTTTCATTGAACACAGACAATGTAAGCAATTCTTTAACCAAAGTGTGCACAAACCTGCAGCATCTTTGCACGACAAGAATGCACCCGAGGGTGGACACACGATCAGACAAAAACTTTTGCAGCAACTGCGACGTTTCATATTTTTGAAAGCTCAGGGCAAATATACCGGTACATCTAGTCTTAACTTGCCAATCTCTGCCAGCCACAACACATGAGGATAGGTTAACTATTCCGCCATAGGTTAACCGAGTCTAATAACAGGATTAGGTTGCAAAGCGAGTACACGGGAAACCAGGACATCTGTCCGCAGCGTGAGCTGACACTCCATAGGCACGCCAGGTATGCGCTACACATGTTTCTGCATTGGATGATAACCTAAAGCAACTCCCCTTGAACAAAAGCCAGAGACAAATTTGGGAGAATGCCAAGATTTGACTGAAATTCTTAGTTGGTAAAAGTATTTATTTTTTTTCCGGGTCATGTTTTCGAATTTCGCTTCAGTCCGATGTTCTTTTTTCTCTCGAAAATTCTTCATTTGTGACCATTTTTCTAATAGAAATAAAGCAGATTTTGTAGGCATCATTACAATTTTATTTACTGAGTGGTCTTAGTACATGTACATTTCAGCTCCTATTGATAGTAGTACATGTATGCATGCTACGGCTAGTGTGCTGAGGGGGGGGGGGGGCAAGGGGACAGATTTTTTTTTAAGAATAAGGGGTGATTGTAACCTCGTGATAAAAAAAAACCTTGTAATTTTTTTTTATTGAAATAAGACTTTTTTTATGGAGGAAAAGTTACTACTAATTGCATTTCAAAACTGGTACAAGTATGTACATGTAAGTCTTCACAATTATAGAACAAAATTGAAATTTCCTCGAAGGTTTTTAAAACAAGAGCACAGATGTATTAATGCCTATCTCTCTGTCAATACTGCAGAATCCTGCTATTGCTAAAGCTGTTCAAACGTGTTTCACACATCTTCATATCGAGATTCCTCTCTCCGCTGGAACAAAACTTCAAAAACAAATAAAAATAGCTCATTTAAAGATCGTTTGGAAAAACCATGAGCGTGAGCAATCCACCCCCCCCCCCCCCCCTATAAGGGGAGCAATGATGACAGATTCTGCAGGGTGCAGGATGTGTCCCTCACAGCGTACTCTGAGTCACCATAGGGGAATATGAGTAAGGAATTATCGGTGTTGGCTTGAGGAAAAAACTTCTCAGCCATGAAAAAAAAGGAGTAATTCATCTATTTGTTAGGTGCCTGTACCTTCATCTTCGTTATGAGATGCGGGACAGGTATGAAATTGGATTACGTCGTCATCTAAAGAAGTGATGTATTCATCAACAAATCCTGTCCTCAAATGTAATTATCCAACCTCAGTTGATTAAAAAAAACCTTAAGAAACAAACAGCCACATTGTTTGCAAAATGATGGGATTAGAAAAGACTAACATAACAAGCTAAAGCTATGGTCTTTGTTTTCAATTGATACATTGAGATGTCCTCATTAGTCAAAATGAAAAGTAAACGTAAACATGAACACGATCTACAAAAAAAGAGTTTTTACTGCAAGAATTGGATTTCTTACTTAAAAATCCATCGTCCAACGCCTCTTTTATGTTTCCAACCAAACTCCGCCCCTACCCCTTACTAATATCACAAAATTTGATACCTTCACCACTTCCTCATCCATAAACCATTTAGGGACCCACTTACGGGATAGACTGAAATTGAACTTGTAATTGGCTGGGCTAGGATTATCGCCAGACGCAGTCGAGGCGCTAAATTCTATTACAGCGGGATAATTTGCCTCTTTTGCCATCCTTGCCTCAAAAAAAGGGGTCATCGCTCAGTTCCTTTGGTGAAAGTATGGGTCGGAGACCGATGCGAGCATCGCTTATTGAGTTTCAGATTTTTTTTTATTGAATACAAATTTTGTTTAAAATGCAAAAGAGTTTGGAAAAAAAGGTTGATAAAATGAAATTTTGGTCATCCATCGCTTCATCTATCTGCAGGGTTTTTAAATGATCTCCCGCTGAAAAAAAAATGGGCTAATAAATGCCAAGAGCTACTCTCATTCCCGTCAATTTAAAAGTCTGAATTCGGTTAGAAAGTCAGCTTGCACAATTTTCAGTTAAAACCAAGAACTAGTGGACTCCCAGAAGTAAACAATAATAGTCAATAATCTGAAACTCGCATCAAATACACAATAAGCTAATGAGCAGTGGCCGGAAAGCACGTATCAAAGAAAACTGGATGTCTGCTGCCCTCTACTGACAAAAATCAGCCAACTACAAACGACTAATCCCTTTACACCCCGAAGCCTTTCGTCTCCCCTCCTTCCACCTTGTGCTACTCCCAACACTAAACAAAAAAAACCTTGAACACCGGTTCAAAGTAAACACAAGCAATAATACTGGGGACAATCTCCCGTCCATGTACACTACAAAATGGCCCAGCCCACTGACAACAATGGCGATGGCTTTTCGCCCCGCGGGCCACTCGCAGATTTTTTTCTTTTCCTTTTTTTCTTTTTTTTCCCTAGTCAAGTGGCAGAGATTTGCATGTGAATGGAACTAAATTGTTTGGACTACCACGACCAACATCCCGAGCTGACTCCTCCGTTCATTGATTGCTTTGCGTACACTAAACAAACTGCATAAAATTCACACAATTTTATTCATCTATGAAAGAAAAAAAAGGAAAAGAAGGAAGAAAAAAATCCTGAAGCCAGGTGGTTGGGGTTCCTGGGTCGATCAAGGTCAACCCTTTCCTAAATCTCTCTCTCTTTCAGGCTTTTGTCGCCCTTGGCACTGCGATTTGAGGGGAAAAAGGCAATATTTGACGGGTCCCTCCGGCGGCTGTGCCACGTGAAGCACACAATGAGTGGAGCCAGACTAAATGACTAGCTGTTGAAATGATCAATAAAACTTGAAAGTGGCTCCTTTTGTTTTGTTTTTTAGTTCCGTTTTTTTCCCCCCAACTGTGGAGTTTAACAACTCCCCAACTGTGGAGTTGAACAAAGTGACATTCAATTTCAAGAGGAAAATCAAAGGTTCAAAACAAATATCTCAGAAATGCTTTTACTTGTAAGCAACAGACCCTTCAAAACTGACGACATGGTCAAGTTACGAGAAGACAAACAAAATCATGGAATCAAAATTTTGATTAGTTGCATCAACAGACTACAAACCGCCAACCTAATCTGTAATCTACAAAGATTTGTACTGTTAAGAGCAAATGTCGCTGTAGTTACTTCTTCTATAGAGAACAGCTTGTTGCATGATTTGATTTCTTTTCAGAATCCCTCCCTCCAAAGACATGTACTCTACACAACACAACATTGGGACATCAACCGCACATGTACATGTACAGTGAAGTTTTAGTGGCTGAGTTTGCTGCCCTAAACTTCAGCAAAATATTCCAAAATCAAGTATGGAGTTTGGTAGACTCAGGGTAGGACAAGAGTGAATGCTTACAGACCTGCACAGTTTTCCAGTGCTATCAATTTTTCTTCTTCATAGATACATGTAAGTACTGGTACATGTTGAACATGTACATAATGTCCACAGTCTGTTTTTACTGTATACTTCAGAGGACCCTAAAGCCTGGTTCATACTTCACGCGAAAGCAAGTGCGAAGCGAAGTTCATGTCGTCAACAATGGTGGACTCGCTTTGAACGTATTGTTGACATCACGAATTTCGCTTCGCTTTCGCATGAAGTATGAAACGGGCTTTAGTGTTTCTGAGGACCATTAGTTTTTCCTTAATTTTGTTGCCATTGTTTGGACTTCACCTTTTCTTGAACAAACCAAAAGTTTTAAACAAACCAAAAGGTTTGTACGGTACACGAAGATGTTACATGTAGAACTGAGGACTTAGCCTCAGAATCCTCAGGCTTATTGTTATAGCAGGTTAACCATTGTTCCAAGTCCTCAGATGTAAAACTTAAGGATAACCAGGTCCACACTGTATATATGTATTTCATAAGGTTCATATAAAACAGTTCACCACTGGTTTTTAGAAAAGGCTTGGGCAGCTCAACACAGATCATACTTCTCTCTTCACATACATGTCCACGTATCAGGGAAATCAAGCAGGGAGAGTAATCCTACATCAGCCTTGACATCAGCTGGAGTCTGACTGATTGAATTATGCTAAGCAGACAGGGGGTTCCTATAGGCTGGAGCCTCATCAAGGTGACAACATTCCATTGCAGAATATACATGTAGTCAGGTACATGTAAATGTAAAGTATAAAAATCTGTATGTAAACTTGAATATATTAATACATGACATGTAATATTCATATAGACATGTAATAGTACAAATACCAGTATGGACATGTAACACAATTTACACATGTACATGTACATGAAATATGCACATGTACATGTAATATACATTTAAACATACATGTACACATGTACAATTTACAAATTTATTCATGAACAGTAACAAAAGTACATACATGTACATGTGATACAAAGGTAAGACTGCTACAAAATTAAACATGTATGATGTGAACATGTAATATTGATGTACACAAATACATACATGTACATGTAGGAGCAAGGAGGACATCTGA